CTTCTGTCACAATAACGTCATGCGTGATCTCTTCCAGCAGCACTAGGGTCACTGCAATCCCTTAAAATATTTCCATGCAAACCAAACTTGACAAGCCTCCACTGTTTATTTTCTGATCTCTGGCACCCTCTCATGTCAGCCCCACAACATTGCTCCTGAGAGTCCAAAAGGAGAGAGAAAATAGAGGTTTCCCCCCAGTTTGGAACAGAAACTGCTTCTCGGGGTTGTGCACGCAAACCCCAGAACTGCTGAGAGTGGCTGACTGGCCCAAAGAGTGAGTAACACTTGGAATTCACTGCCACAGGAAGTGGTGGTGGCTACAAGCATGAACGGCTTCAAAAGGGAATTAGATAAGCATACGGAGCAGGGGGCCATCAGTATCTATTAGCCACAAGGTATAGATGGGGGCTCTGGGGCAAGTGATGCTCTGTCATCTTGGTGCTTGGGGGGGGGGGTCAACAGTGGGAGGGCTTCTAATGTCCTGGCCCCACTGGTGGACCTCCTGATGGCACCTGGTATTTTTGGCCACTGTGTGATATAGAGTGTTGGACTAGGTGGGCCTTTGGCCTGATCCAACACTGGCGTCTCTTATGTTCTTATGCTAGGTTCAGCCCCAGAAGGGTAGAGAGTCCATGAACGGAGCAGAGCAACACATGGGAACGCAGATGGCGAGGGGCTTGGAGCACCTTCCCTATGAGGAAAGGCTGGGGAGGCTTCGGACTTCTCAGTTTGGAAAAGGGACAACATCCCCCAAATAGCAGAACTCGAGGGAATCCAATAAAGCTGATGGGCAGTAGGTTCGGGGCAGACAAAAGGAAATACTACTTTACACTGAGCGTGATTAAAATACAGAATTCGCTGCCAGAGGCCACAGGAATCAACAGCTTGGAAAGGGAATTAGATTCATGGAAGAGAGGTCGATCAGTGGCTACTGGTGTAGTGGGTAAGTGCGTGGTCTGGTGTAGTGGTGAAGTGCGCGGACTCTAATCTGGGAGAGCCGGGTTTGATTCCCCACTCCTCCACTTGCACCTGGCGGGATGACCTTGGGCAAGCCATAATTCTGTGAAAAAGTCCTTGAAAAAAGAGCAGTTTCTTTCAAGAGCTCTCTCAGCCCCACCTGCCTCACAAGCTGTGGTGGGGAGGGGAAGGGAGAGGAGTTTGTAAGCCGCTCTGAGACACCTTTGGGTAGTGAAGGGCGGGGTAGAAATACAATCTCTTCTTCTCCTTCTACTAGCCATGGTGACTGAGGGGAACCTCCAGTTTAGTGTACTGGTTGGGAGAACCAAGCTGGGTTCCCCACTCCTCCACATGCAGCTGCTGGTGTGACCTTGGGTCAGTCACAAGTTCTCTCAGAGCTGTTATCTCAGGAGCAGCTCTCGAAAGAGCTCTCTCAGCCCCACCAACATCACAGTGTTTGTTGTGGGGAGGGGAGGGGAAAGGAGATCGTAAGGTGCTCTGAGACTTCTTTCGGGTAGTGAAGGGCGGGGTATAAATCCCATCTCTTCTTCTTCACATTCAGAGGCACTAAACCTCTGAATCCCGGAGTGAAGAGGCAACATCAGGGGAAGGCCTCAGCCGCTCTGCCCTGTTGTTGGCCCTCCAGAGGAACTGGTTGCACATTTTGTGAGACAAGATGCTAGACTGGATGGACCCTCACTGGTCTGACCCAGGAGGGCTCTTCTGATGTTCCTATCAGGGGATTGCCTCAGCCGTTCTGCCCTGTCGTTGGCCCTCCTGAGGAACTGGCTGGCCCCTGTGTGAGATGGAAGGCTGGGCTACATGGACCCTCCCTGGTCTGATCCAGCAGGGCTTTTCTGAGGTTCCTATCAGGGGAAGGCCTCAGCCGTTCTGCCCTGTTGCTGGCCCTCCAGGGGAACTGGCTGGCCCCTGTGTGAGACAGGAGGCTGGACTGGATGGACCCTCACTGGTCTGATCCAGCAGGGCTCTTCTGATGTCTTTATCAGGGGAAGGCCTCGGCCTCTCTGCCCTGTTGCTGGCCCTCCTGAGGAACTGGCTGGCCCCTGTGTGAGACGGGAGGCTGGGCTACATGGACCCTCCCTGGTCTGACCCAGCAGGGCTCTTCTGAGGTTCCTATCAGGGGAAGGCCTCGGCCTCTCTGCCCTGTTGCTGGCCCTCCAGAGGAACTGGTTGGCCCCTGTGTGAGACGGGAGGCTGGACTGGATGGACCCTCACTGGTCTGATCTAGCAGGGCTCTTCTGATGTTTGCTGGGGAACTCTGTAACTTTTTTCTGGGCTCCCATCCCCTCGGGCCCTTGTTATTGTGTTTCTGAGCTAGAGATGTGATGTCCAGTTTTTCCTTCTTCCACGGGGACTGCATTGCAAGACTTTGGGATTTGGTGGACCAGAGAAGTTGTATTTTGGTCACCACAAGGCTGTCTTGAGCAATAATCAGTTGCTCAACGGAATTCAAAGACCTGATCCCCTGCAAGTTTCTGTTCCCTATTACAATCATGTGCTTAGTTGAACAGACATCGTTGCACTGTTCTGTATCTTGGAAAGGTCTGACGTAAAGAAATGTATTACCTCACATTGTCTTGCAAATTCTGTTCCTAGTTTGGCCCATGGATCTGACACAGGGAGAGGTTGTACACACTCTAGGGTTTCCCTTGCTCGAAAGCCAGTCGAATCCAACTCTAGGGGGCAGTGCTCATCTCCGTTTCCAAGCCGAAGAGCCAGCACTGTCCGAAGACGTTTCCGTGGTCATGTGGCCGGCATGACTAGACGCCAAGGCGTGCAGAACGCTGTTACTTTCCCACTGGTGGTATCTATTTATCGACTTGCAATGTCTTGCTTTCGAACTGCTAGGTTGGCAGGAGCTGGGGCCAGAGATGGGAGCTCACTCCGTCATGCGGCACTCGGGTCTCGAACTGCTGAACTACCGACCATCCGGTCTGTCACATTTTGTAAATCTTATAAATAAAACATTGTTTTAACCGGGTTTGGTTCCCCACTCCTCCACTTGCAGCTGCTAGATGACCTTGGGCAAGCCATAGTTATGACAAGAGCTATCCTTGAAAAAGAGCAGTTTGTGTCAGAGTTCTTTAAGCCCCACCTGCCTCACAGGGAGGGGAAGGGAAAGGAGTTTGTAAGCCGCTCTGAGACTCCGAGTGAAGGGCCGGGTATAAATCCAGTCTCCCCCTCCTCCTCCAGATTGGTGTAGTGGTTAGGAGCGAGGACTCTAATCTGGGAGAACCGGGCTTGATTTCCCACTCCTCCTCCACTTGCAGCTGCTGGATGACCTTGGGCAAGCCACAGTTCTGATAAGAGCTGTCCTTGAAAAAGAGCAGTTTCTGTCAAGAGCTCTCTCAGCCCCGCCTACCTCACAGGGTGTCTGTTGTGGGGAGGGGAAGGGAAAGGAGTTTGTAAGCCGCTCTGAGACTCCGAGTGAAGGGCCGGGTATAAATCCAGTCTCCCCCTCCTCCTCCAGATTGGTGTAGTGGTTAGGAGCGAGGACTCTAATCTGGGAGAACCGGGCTTGATTTCCCACTCCTCCTCCACTTGCAGCTGCTGGATGACCTTGGGCAAGCCACAGTTCTGATAAGAGCTGTCCTTGAAAAAGAGCAGTTTCTGTCAAGAGCTCTCTCAGCCCCGCCTACCTCACAGGGTGTCTGTTGTGGGGAGGGGAAGGGAAAGGAGTTTGTCAGCTGCTCTGAGATTCCTTTGGGTATAAATCCAATCTCCTCCTCTTCTTCTTGTTTTATAGATCTATCTATATATAAAAGGTAAAGGTTCCCTTGCTCGAAAGCCAGTCGAGTCCGTTGCGGTGCTCATCTCCGTTTCCAAACCTAAGAGCCAGCGCTGTCCAAAGACATTTCCGTGGTCAATGTGGCGCACAGAACGCTGTTACCTTCCCACCAAAGTGGTACCTACTTATCTACTTGCAATTTCTTGCTTTCGAACTATGTTGTTGTGGTTGTTCAGTCGCACAGTCGAGTCCGACTCTCCGCGACCCCATGGACCAGATCCCTTCAGACCTTCCTGTCTTCCGGCCGTCCTCTGAAGTTTGCTCAATTTCATGTTCTTGCATCTATGACACTATCTATATACGTATATAATTTATACTACATATAAATAGTTCGAACTATATACGTATATAATTTATATTATATACGTATAAAATTTATATTACATGCCTATAAAATGTATATTATATGTAGTATAAACTCGCGGGTGCCCCCTGGCGGAGGACGGAGCTCCCGGGAGCGCCCTCGTGTACGGAGCTCCAGCCCGGGTACAGCAGCAGCATTCCGGGCGGGAGGCCTCGCCGCTCCCCCTCCGGCCCCTTCGCCGCCCTTCGCCCCGCGAGCGTCTCCCTGCAGAGCAGGAAGGGCCGGCCGAGCGCTGCCAACCTCCAGGCGGAGCCTGGAGTTCCCCTGCGGTTGCAGCTGCTCTGCAGACCTGGCAGACCTAGGGTTGCCAGCCTCCAGGTGGAGCCTGGGGAGCTCCCGCTTTTGCAACTTGATCTCCAGCTGGCAGAGATGAGCTCCGGGCTGCTTGGAAGGGTGGACTCCCTGGCCTTGGATCCTGCGGAGGCCCCTCCCCAAGCCCCACCCTCTCCCGGCTCCACCCCCAAAGTCTCCAGGTATTTCCCAACCCAGACCTGGCAACCCTAGGGAGGAAGCAGCTCTGTGGCATCACATCCCCCTGCGCCACCCCCAGAGTTCCAGCAGTAGCCCAAGCCAGAGCTGGCAACCTGGAGAAGGCTGTTGGGAGATCGAGCACGGGCCGCTGGTGGCTGACAGTCGAGGGGACTCCTTGCCACAGGAAACGGGCCAAGGAGGGCAGCGCCTGACCACCTTCCCCTCCATAGACAGAGCAGAAATCAGCCCCCCCCCCAGCCCTAGGGAGAGGGAGGGCTGGCCTTGAAGTACTTAAGCTGGCGACTGACCGTGGCCCCCGGATCCCCTGTTCTGGGGGGGGGGGCTGTTCGGGGGGGGGGCTGAGCCGGCTGACTGTGTGGCTGCCTCCTTTCTCCCCAGAGGGGGCACCCATTCCAAGGTGGTGCTGATATCGCAGGATGGCAAGATTGTGGCCGAGAGCGAGGGGCCCTGCACCAACCACTGGGTAAGGATCCGCCCCTCCACACACCAAGGGGGGGCGGGCGGGGTAAGGAACATACCAGAAGCTGCTTCATACTGAATCAGTCTCTTGCTCCAGCAAGGTCGGTCTTGTCCGCGCAGGCCGGCAGCCGCTCTCCAGGGTCTCCGTCTGAGGTCTTTCACATCCCCTGCCTGGTCCTTTTAATGGCGACGGGGACCTTCTGCATGCCAAGCAGAGGCTCTTCCACTGAGCCACAGCCCCTCTTGACAGCTCTCCAGGGTCTCAGGCGGAGGTCTTTCCCATCACCTCCTGCCTGGTCCTTTTTAACTGGAGATGCCGGGGATTGAACCTGGGACCTTCTGCATGCCAAGCAGAGGCTCTGCCACTGAGCCACAGCCCCTCTTTACAGCTCTCCAGGGTCTCAGGCTGAGGTCATTGACATCACCTCCTGCCTGGTCCTTTCTAACTGGAGATGCCGGGGATTGAACTGGGGGCCTTCTGCGTGCCAAGCAGACGCTCTGCTGCTGAGCCTCGGCCCCTCCGCCTTGAATTGCAGTGAGAAAAGCGGGCTACAGATAATGTCAATAAGTCACCGATGTCTGTATGAAGTCGAGTGAATGTATAGCTTGCTTCTCTCTCAGACACTCAAGCCGTATCGCATCCTTCTCCTCTCTTTTTCCCTCACGACAGCCCTGTGAGGAAGGTTAGGCTGAGAGTGTGTGTCTGACCCAAGGTCACCCAATATGGTTCCAGGGCACGAGCAGAAATTAAAACCTGGGTCTCTCTCGCTGACCTGGATAGGCCAGGCAAGCCCGATCTCGTCAGATCTCGGAAACTAAGGAGGGCCCACTCTGGGATGCACTTGGATGGGAGACCTCCTTGGAATACCAGAGGTGTGAGGTGGGGGCAGGCTTTATTCAGCCGCCTCTCTGAATATCCTCCAGACCCCCAGTAGGGGTCAGTCGCCAGAGGTCACCATGACTTCCAGGTGCACACACACACACATTAGAATATACAAAAAACAGACCTGGGCCTCTCAAATCTTAGCCCGATATCTAACTACTATATCACACAGTCTCTAGTCACCTACATTTTCCAAAACAGGAAGATTTTTTTTTGGGGGGGGGGGCACACATTCTCCCTGCTTTTCTCCAAATCTCTCTGCTGCAGGGAGGCAGTATTCCCTCTAAGCTGAGTTAATGTGAGCTAGCTCACGGTTTTTTAGTGCCCAGCTCACAGATTTTTGTCTGAGCTCAGGAAGGAGGGCTCCAGAGCAAGCTAATTTAATAATAAAAATAATAAATCTTTCAATTTATTTATTTATGCAGTAGCCAAATCGCTCGCTCACAGCTTTAATGCCAGTAGCTCACAAAGCACAATTTTTGCTCACAAGACTCCACAGCTTAGAGGGAACATTGCAGGGAGGGGGGTAGATTTCAGTGGGGTGGGGGCTTGAGGAAGTTCTGATGGTTTGGGTGTTCCCGACCGTAATGGAGATATCCTTGCTTCTGTTCTGTTCCCGAGCAGCTGGTCGGCTCGGACAAATGCCTGGAGCGGATCGAGGCCATGGTCCGCGAAGCCAAAGGGAAGGCGGGTGTCGGCGTGCAGGTCCCGCTGCGCTCCCTGGTGAGTGTCCCCGCCCCCATCCTCCCTGGCGCCTCCTTCCTCCAAGCGGGCGGGCCCAGCCTGCTTTCAGGCCTTCCCCATCTCGGAGGCGCCCTCCTGAAATCTCAGAGCCCTGGTTGGGTGGGACAGCCATTGGCCAGACAAGACTGTGCTGTGCATAAACGGGTGGTCCTCTTACGCTTCCCCAGAGGATGGGTTTCACCTGCATGGTCTCCTGCCCTTGCAAGGGGGAGGGACGCAGAGAGAGAGAGAGTCCAGGCTCCAGCACCCACCACACAGACTTCGGCTGCTTCCTAAGAACATAAGAGATGCCAATGTTGGATCAGGCCAAAGGCCCATCCAGTCCAACACTCTGTATCACACAGTGGCCAGAGCTCACCGTAATGCTCAAGAGTTCCTTAACAGACAGAGGACAGTGGGAAGATTTCCCCAAAGGTAGAAAGCTTGCAGGCTCTCCATATAGATGAAGGAGGAGAGGAGAGAAGGTGACTGGATTTATAGCCCACCCTTCACTCAGAGTCTCAGACAGGCTTACAATCTCCTTTCCCTTCCCCTCCCCACAACAGGCACCCTGTGAGGTAGGCGGGGCTGAGGGAGCTCTTTCAAGGACTGCTTGTGAGAGAACAGCTCTGGGAGAACTTGTGACTGACCCAAGGTCACACCAGCAGGCGCAAGTGGAAAAGTGTGGGGAATCAAACCCGGTTCTCCCAGATTAGAGTCCGCGCACTTAACCACGACACCAAACTGGCTCTCCAAATCAGGAGTCCCCAAACTTTTTGAGCCTGCGTGCACGTTTGGGCACAGCGTGGCTGTCACGGGACCTGGAGCCGACCATGTAATGGCTGCCGTGAGCGGTGGAGCCACACACAGCCAAGTGCAGGGGACAAGAGGGGTAATTAAAAACACAATGACAAAGAGCGGTGAGATAGAGAAAACCAACACTGTAGCGGAAACAATGTTGTTTTAATTTGCGCAGCCAATCAGATCTTCAGAAGTCCCGCTGGGCAGGTGCCCTGCCTGACCCCGCCCACTTTCTAAAAAGACTTGGTGGTTACCAGGAAAGATGTCGACAGAAGCCAGTGTGCCCAGGGGCACTGCGTTGGGGACCCCTGGTATAGTTCAAGGAACGTCCCGCAGCTCTGGCCACGAAAATATTGGTCCAGGTGGGTCGTGGGGAGGCCTCCCCTTCAACAGGTGTATGTTCCGCTGTCTCCACGGGTGTCAGGAACTTTAGGCAGGTACTCCACACACCCAGGCTTCTTCAGAAGATAAGTGTTTATTCCACCAGGCTCCTGCCTGGTGGAATGAGCTCCCGGAGGAGATCCGGGCCCTGCGGGACCTTATACAGTTCTGCAGGGCCTGTAAAACGGAGCTCTTCCACCAGGCCTTTGGGTAGGAGCTGCCGCCGCGCTATACCACCACCGCGGTGATACCATCCATCTACCATACCTTGGGGAGTAGATGTTGCCCGACTGTGCTGCGGAAATATTGCTCCTGGCGCTCTCGCTATCAAGAACACTGGCTGCAAATGTGGGTTGCTGTATTTTTTGTAAATTCTATGTAGATTTTTGTAGCACCAAATGTTATTATATATGTAATACTGTTTTTATTGTACCCAATTTTTAAACTTGTTGTTAGCCACCCTGAGCCACTGGGTAGGGCGGGATAAAAATCTCAAAAATAAATAAATAAATATAAATAAATATTTATTGTGGTAAGGCAGAACTAAAGTACATGTATACAGCTCGTGTTAAGAATGCCTTGTAATAAGATGGCTACTAACTTATAGGATATAATGAAGTTTTCTCATGCGCGCTTTGGGCCCTGCCAACAAGCAAACATTTATGCGGGCAAAGCAGTTACAATTCCCAGGCTTGGGGAATTACAGCAAAGCATCTTCAAGGCCAATGTGCAGATAGCAGGAGCGCTAGGCAGAGAGGCGCTGAGAACGGGAGGGAGATAAAATCCCCCTTCACATTCCAACACCATGGCAGGGTTACCTGACAACGTGTGCCTTCCAGAGTGCAGGATTCTCTGAGCCTAACGACACATCAAGTTTTTATAATGAGTCCGGTCCAGCATCCCCAGACCCAACTAGCTTTCCCTGCATCCAGGTGGTCTTTCTCACGTCTCCAGCGGCTGAGCATGCAGCTGCAAAAGGAAATGCCCCCTGGGGCCATCTACTGGCGAGGCAGAACAGCCCCCCCACACACACACATTGCAGTCCCCAGCCAAACTGGGCTCCCACGATAATTTAAAAAGCAGCTCCCTGCGGTTCCCGGGAAGGCAGATTGGGTCTAGGACACTCTGGCCCTGCTAAATATGTCATGTCGCCTGGCCTAGGTGCGTCTGCTTGGGGAGGGGGAGGCAAGGAGTTCACCGTGGGGTCCGGCTGTTGCAGGGTCTGTCCCTGAGTGGAGGGGAGCAGAAAGAAGCCATCCAGAAGCTGATCGAGGAGCTGAAGACGCGCTTCCCCCAGCTCAGTGAGAGTTACTACATCACCACGGACGCCATTGGGGCCATGGCCACGGCGACCGACCACGGTAAGAGGGCTGGATTGTGGGAGAGTCGCTTTGGTGGGCGGTCAAGTTAGTGGGTAGTGCAAGTTTTCCATTAAGTGGTCTTGCGAAGGGCTGAGCTGGAAGCTGAGCGAGACCGGCACGTTCTGCTGCGGATTTTGCAAGACCGAGGGGGCTTTTGTGCACGCTGAAAAATGCACCGTCAATGCACTTTAGCAGTAAGGGGAGAGCGGCCTATAAATCGAAAAAATAAATAAATAAAATAATCTGCAAGTGGATCTTGCCATTTCACACAGCAAAATCCAGAGTACATTGTAAGTGGATTGTTCAACGTGTGCGAATAGTCTTCTTTGCACGGCAGTTAAGATAAATGTTGCTAAACCTGAGCGCTGCACAATCAGTGTGGCTACTCGGGTTTAGCAACATTTCCCAGTCGATTCAGCTCTTTTGCTACCAAGCCCATCAAGGAGTGCTTAAACTGAATTTCACTCTTCTGCTTCAAGGCATGGCAAAGAACATGTGTCTAGAGATAACTCCAAGTGGGTGGCTGGGTTTGTCTGTAGCAGCAACTAAGTCTTAGGTTTTAAAGGTAAAGGTTTCCCTTGCTCGAAAGCCAGTCGAATCTGACTCTAGGGATGCAGTGCTCATCTCTGTTTCCAAGCCCAAGAGCCGGCACTGTCCGAAGACGTTTCCGTGGTCATGTGGCCGGCATGACTAGATGCCGAGGCGCACGGAACGCTATTGCCTTCCCACCAAAGCGGTACCTACTTGCAATTTCTTGCTTTCCAACTGCTAGCTGAGGCCAGAGACGGGAGCTCACTCCGTCATGCGGCACTCGGGTCTCGAACTGCTGGACCACCGACCTTCCGGTCTGCAGTTCAGCGTCTTAACCACTTGAGCCACTGCAGCTCAAGTCTTGGGACACCTTAAATATTAGGAAAATATATCCCAGCACAAGCATTTGTGAGCCAGAACTCCTTTCTCAGCTGATTCACAAACGTTTATGCTGGAATATGGCTTGAGTCCAGTGGCACCTTTAAGACCCAACAAAATTTAATTCTGGGTATCGGCTTTCCGTGTGCAGGCACACTTCTTCGGATTCAAACTTTGTTCCATTGCTTCAAGCCAACACAGCTACCCCCTGAATCTGTGCTGGACTATGTTTTCCTCGTCTTTATGGATCCACAGGCCTCCTGATTGACTTTGCCTCTAGGAAGATGATCTGAATGGGTGCCCACTTTGGTGGCTCACACCGCTTTCATCATCGAACAAATGGTGAAGTCATGGGAATGGGGATTTTGAAAACCATTTAGTCTTATGCACAGAACGTGTGGCTTTTCCCATTGTCTTGAAAAAGGGTAATATTCAGCGACTGCTTAGAAACTGTGGCCTGTCGCTGAGGCACTGATCTTTCCAAATGGGTTAGCGTTTGAAAAAAACTTTCAGTCGACTGAAGTTATGGAAGCCACTTCAGTCCCAGTGCTGGGGTGAAAAAGAAGAAGAGATTGGATTTATACCCCTTGCCCTTCTCTCAGAGTGTCTTACAAACTCCTTCCCCTTCCGCTTCCCACAACAGACACCCTGGGAATCGGGTAGGGCTGAGAGAGTGCCGACAGTAACTGCTCTTTCTAGGACAGCTCTTGTCAGAACTGTGGCTTGCCCAAGGTCATCCAGCAGCTGCAAGTGGAGGAGTGGGGAATCAAACCCGGTTCTCCCAGATTAGAGTCCGCGCACTGAACCACGACACCAAACTGAAGAGCTTAGCCAGGAAGGGACCCCACCCTGACTGCTCACACCACCATGGAGAGGGGCCCCCTACAGTGCTGTACTTCTAGGGGCCAGGCTGGAGTTGCCTGTGTTTGGAGGGGAGGTGGGACAGACAGAAGAGGAAGCAGCGGTGGGTGATGAGTAACCCTCGGCTGTGGGTGTACGTAGAAACATAGTGCTGGAAGGGATCCCCAAGGGTCATAAGAGACGCCAATGTTGGATCAGGCCAAAGGCCCATCCAGTCCAACACTCTGTGTCACACAGTGGCCAGAAATACCAGGTACCCCCAGGAGGTCCACCAGTGGGGCCAGGACATTAGAAACCCTCCCACTGTTGACCCCCCCCCCCCCCACCCCACAAAGAACGGAGAA